GATGGGGTCAGGAATTCCCCAACTAGCACTTGAGCAATACTTGGAGCAGTAGAATCCGGGAAGGACCCACTAGCTAAAACCTAGGGAACAGTTCACTCTGGGACCCCTGGGCAGCTTCCCTTTTCATAAACAAAACAAGGTACTAAGGAACAGCCAGAATGGATTTGTCAAGAGAAGATCATGTTTATCCAACTTGATTTCTTTCTGTGACAAAGTGATGTGCTTGGTGGAAGAGGAAAGACAATGAATATGGTATCCCTTGATTTTAGCAAAACTTTTTTTATGCTGATTCCCATGATATTCTCCTAATTAAGTGGTGATGAGGCCAAATCCAAACTCTGGGTCCAACTGGTCCCAATCAGAGAATGGGGGCAGTTCATTCCTTGAGGGTGCAGTGAAACAGGTGTCATCTGCAGCAATCCTGGAACAGTGCCCTGGGCCCAGCTGGTCTTAGTGGGGCAATCAGAGCAGCCAGTCCCCTGAAGCCACAGACAACAAACCCCACCTGTTCCAGCCCTTGAAGGCTAAAGCCAGCCTGCAGTACTGTGACTGGGCAAAGACTTAGGGTGCAGACAGCAGTGACAATTTTCATCTGATCTGGCCACAGAAAGCAGTTTATAGTTATGACCAAACACAAGTACATAGTTGCAAACAGCAACCAAAATGGCTGATTGGGTGAAAATCTGACCCCTCATTGCATGAGGTATCAGATAAAGATGTTTCAAAATGTAGCATCTTTTGTGACTTCTGTCTCAGTCTGTCCCTGTTTTCAGAATGGGAAGGGGGAAAGGGAACAGAGAGAGTTCAGTCTGGAGGCTTTTCAGCTCCTCCTAGAGGGTGGGGTGGGTATATTGCAGCCCCCCCCCCCCTCCCCCCCCCCCCCCCCCGGGGGGTGGGGGGCTCCCACTCCCCCGCCTCATCCTGCAGCACCAGCTGGGGAGCCCCAAAAAGAAGCTCCCTCTGCTCCCACCCATTCTGAAAACAGCGAGCACTGGCAGAGAGCCCTGGCCCTTGATATGGAAACCTGGCTGCAGGCTCACAGCCGCAGCTAGATTCCCCTCCCCTCTGGAACCAACAGTGAACTTCTGTTTGGTCTGGGATAACGTTGTAACTCAGAATGCTTTGCAAAAATAATTCTGAATTACAGCTGGGAGCTGTGCTTCTGTCTTTAGTTTTTTGCTCCTGACCCTTATGGGCTTCCTTGCTTTATATATCTCATCAGTTTGACTCTGATCATGTAGCTATTGATTGTATAGGGATAAGCAATCAGACATGGGCCTAGACTGTGAAGGTTTTGTTAGTTTCTCAAAACCTTGTCAAAAGTCTATGTGCATGTGCATATGTATATGGACATATGTTCATAAATGTGTGTGAGTGGATGTGAGGTGGTTTCAGTTCTGTAGTTATATTTTTCCTGTCGAGTCTAATGCCACCTTATTATTTATAGTGTATGCATTCCTACAGTCACACAGATGAGTTTCATCTGATAATTCTCTTTAAGTATAAAACGCTTTGTAAGGGTCTGGAGTTACTGTATACAGAAACAAATAGCCAAAGACGAATGCCACTAGTAAGGAGCTCCAGGAAGATTACATTATCCATAGTTACAGTTCAGTACAAAATACATTAGGTGTTAAATAAGCCAACCTTTTTATTTTAGTTTGTAAAAAGCATTCACCTCAGTTTTTTTTATACTATAGGAAGAAAAGAGAACTCAACTCAGGCCCCATTTTCCAAGTGTCTGAACTCCACAAGCTGCACAGGTACTTCTGCTTTTCTCTGTCTCCCTTGTTACATAAGGTCTTTCCTGGCCATCCCAGTAACATGTGAAGTTTCTGCTTTTCCCAGACAAGGAGAAGCTCCGTGTTGTGGAAGGAAAGGATGGATGCTCGGGGAGAGTGGAGGTTTCGCACCGCAGCTCCTGGGGAACGGTGTGTGATGATTCCTGGGACATGGCGGATGCCAATGTTGTGTGCAAACAACTGGGCTGTGGAGCTGCTGTGTCTGCCCTGGGCGAGGCTGCATATGGAGAGGGGACTGGTCCCATCTGGCTGGACAAAGTGAACTGCAAGGGGACAGAGTCGTCTCTCTGGGACTGTTGTGCCGAGCCCTGGGGTGATAGTAAGTGTCACCATAAGGACGATGCTGCTGTGATCTGCACTGGTGAGTGACAGGATTTTGATTCATTGTGTATTTTACAGATGGTAGGGGTAGGCAGTATATTTCAGTGGCTGAATACACCTGAGTTACCACAGTCTAGTCCCCCATGTAGAGATCACTGATGGTTAGAAGTGGAAATGTGTAGGCTCAGATTTCTAAGGCATGGATACACATAACTTCTGAATCATTGACCCAGCTTACAGGTTCATGATTCTGTTCCTCATTGCTGCCAGAACAGAGCTGGATGGCGGATGGGGGGATGGGGCAGAGAATTTAAATTAGTGTAATGGAGATATTTCTTTTAGAGGAGAAACCTATACATGTATTTTCACATGACACCTACAGACACAAGAGAATGCTCAGGGGCATGTTCCCCTGGCCACAAGCATATCAACTCCTGATTTTTCCAGATCTCTATTTTCCTTCTCTCCCCCTTTGCAGGTGTGACAGAGATGCCTACACCACCAGTTAAAACAGGTAAGAACTCCCTCTCCTACTAAGGAATAAATTGGCTTAGTGCCAGGTTTGCAGAGGAATGATCTGTAACCTTAAGCTTGAGAAGGTAAATTCTTTACATAGAGCATGAAGTCTGTTGGTGAATCACACCCAGGGATGGGAACTACAGGGAGTGCTGAGTAGGAGCCATTCCTCTCCAGAGATTTAAAGCTGATGGGATCAGGCCTGATTCACACAGCAGTTTGTGAGCTGCCCTTATGAGAAATTCCTTGAGCTTCAGTGTGTAACCTTACTGTAATGTGAAATGCTGGAAGTGACTGGAGTGCTCTCCTATAGCACACTAGACACTTGCAGAATAGCCTCTGTCTGTTGCATATTCAATTTCCGTTCAGGTCCTTCCAACCACCAACCTCCAACAGAGGGCAGGGGAAACATGGTTCCCATTGTCATCTGCATTGTCCTGGGGGCCCTCTTGTGCCTGGTCTTGATCGTTCTGGGAGGACAGTTACAAAGTAGCAGGGCCCTGAGCAGAGGTATGTCCTTATTAGCCTATGCAAAATGTCTCTGCAAGGAGATACAAGTGAGGATAGATGTACAAGTGAAGGAAAGGGCGCTGGCAGAGCTGCAATGGGAGCTAGGGCTGGAACACAAGGGGAGCCAGATATGAGGGGAAAGACTTTTGGAGAGTTATGAGGGAGATTCGGGGTCCATGTGAACTCATATCTGAATAACTGAATATCTGGCAGTAGCAATAAACAGCACTGTAGTGATATTTCCAATGATACTGAATTGGGAGAAGTTAGAAGTGGTAGTTTCAAGACAGAGAAATTCTCAAAGGTTGTTAAAGAGATTGAACATGTTGGCATACATTACCATTTTGTTTTTATTGGCAGGAAAGTCCATGCTGGGATTTCGTTAAGAAAACTGAAAGAATCCCCTTGGGTAAATTGGGAAGAAATGTATAAGGAAAAAGAATTGGAAAAAGAATTTTGGATAAAATAGCCAAACTTCCAACATTATCTGGATATTCCTTTGGGGCATGTGCGTTTGCACAGGCATGTGCATGCACACACACATTTGTGTGTGTGCACATGGGTGTATGAGTATATTTATTACTTTGGCAGTAGGTGAAATGGAGATGGCCACCAGTCATGAGATAGAAGTCAAAATAAAATTTTAGGTTATGACTTTGGAGAGATTTAGTGGCAGTGAAATAGCTTGTAGTAGAGTCTCTAAAGTGGAGATCATAAATGGACTGTGACCACTTCTATGTAAGGGATTCTCCTCTAGATTAGACAAAGCAGTAAGACTGTTTTGTAGGGATCAGTCTGCTCCGGCCTCGTGGGCCGCTTCCAGATGTGAAAAGGCATGTGCTTGCAGTGGCAAAAATAGTAGCAGCACAGGTAGCAAATTTTGCCCCCACGCTACAAATTTGCAGCACAGGGCACATTTTAACATTCCAGGCATGAGGTTTGTGGCACTGTAAAGAAATTTGTGGCACCACCAATTGCATGTGCCTGCATATCTGGATGCAGTCATAGGGTTGGGCTATATGATCTAGTAGGCCGTGTCCAGATGAGCGCAGCCATGCAATGTGTGGCACTGCAGTCCCATCTATGGTGCCACATACTGCACATTCAGGCATTTCCTGCACTACTACTTTACAGTGTGGGGTTTGTTTAGGTTTTTTTGACCCCTGGAGATCCACGTTTGAACACTTTTTTTTTCAGGCTCCAAAGGACCCTTAGACCCCTTCTCTGAGGCTGTGTATGAGGAGATTGATTATAATCTGAGGGAGAAACAAGAAATGTTTGGTTACTCAGGTATATATATATCCCTTAACTACTGTGAACAAGTATCTAACACTTTCTTTCCTGATCCAGACCCAAATCTCTGCAGCCTTCTGCGAACCATAGAGTGCTTTGGAGACTGGTGTATAGTGAGACCAGCTAGTTACTGAACTTCTTATTTCCCACCAGGCTTTTCTCACACCATTTTTTTGAGTAGCTTCTTGGTCCATGTGCAGTGTGCAGTCATGGAGAATAATTAGGTAGTGGTCAAGAAACTAACTTTTTGAAGGCTACATTAAATTATCATTGTAGAATGGATTTGGGACACTGGGCCAGGGGAATTGTGTCCCCTGCTTTCCACAGACACTGCCTTGTTATGTAGGCTCACCATGTGTGTCAGCTGCTAGTTCAGTTCATTCAGTTCAGTTCAAATTAGTGACATAGCATATCTTTGTCTCTCCACTCTCTTATTCAGAGGATTCACTGATGAAGCTGTACTATTATACTGGAGACAGTGAGGAGGGAAATGAGCCTGGATCAGCACAAGGTAATGGATTAAGGTGGGGGGAGAGAGATAGATATATATGCAGACATATAGACCCAAACTCAGGTGGAGGATTTAATTTTCACTGTATTTTCTGCAGCACATTGTCATCTTCCCTTACTCAGTGTCATACTCTAGTACTACATTAGACAATCGACTTGGTTCAGATCAGGTTTCACAAGACTTTCACAAGTTTCTACCAAAAATTCCTGGTGATCAAGTCATGATACTTTGTGTAAAGTTATGACACCTGCTTTGGGTAAGCAGGGGAAAATATCATATGTAAGGACCTACTGGATTTGTGATTTTGCATTTTTTGTGGAAGCCACGAATTTGGTTGGTCTCTGTGAAAAAGCCCATTCTCTATGAAAAGTATGGAGACCAGAAAAAGCTGCAAAATCTGTGAGGTGGCAGGGGAAAAGAAAAAAAGGGAACTGCAAAACAGAAAATGACAGGAAGCCTGGGCATCCTGAAGCATAAGGGGGGCAGGGGAAGGAGGAAGGGAGCAATTTGGAGGCTGAGCCCCTGACATAGGCTCAGGGGTCAGCCAAGGAAGCTGGGGGGATTTTGGCACCAGCTTTTAATGTAAAGAAGTCTTCCAAAATGGTCAAATATATTTCAGCAGGGGACTGTGCAAAACAGTATCCTGCATGTCCCTTGCATGCAGATGGAGGCAGATTCTTCTTTACCGCCTGCAATCTAACTCTGAATGTATCCAGGAAAACCAGCATTGATTGTCACTGACCTTCAGGACAACTATGTGCTGCACATTTTAATTGTATGAGGGAGCTGGACTGACCAGAACCTGCCTGTCTTTCAAACTGAACCAATCCACCTCATGTCTGTCAATTTTTCTACTGTCCCAAGCCATCATGAAAGTAATTGTCTACTATGGTGTAGACTTTAACAAATCTCAGCATTTCTGTCTGACAATGCCATGTACATATGCAAGGCTTTCTCCAATGTGCTCCAAGGAATACTGCCCAATGCTATTCTTGTCAACTGAAATGCACACTTTCTGTCCCTAGTAAGTGACAACTGATGCATGCAGTTCTCTGAGGTGGATAGCCCAGTGTCTTCTTTCAAGAAAGCATTCAAGAATGGTCCAGGTTATAAGGAACAGGAAGTCTGTCACCAGTCAAAGTGGGAACTCATATGGCACTATGCCACTGCCACCAGAGCCTGTGTTCACATGCTGGAATTCCAGTCTGTTACCATGCCAAGCACATGCAGCACTACCAGCAGTTTGTGAGAGGATTTGGAAATTACACCCAGCACACAGTGTATGCTCACACTTTGCAATCTCTTATTGCAAGGTGACATTCAGGATCAAGTGATGTTTGTGACTGACAGTGCCACTCAGTTAATGGAGCTCCTGATTCGGTTTGAAGGCCAGCAGGCTGTGAACCATCATGCACATGACAAGGTGATGGATTTGATAAGATGGGCCAAAGACAGGGCATTGCAAGAAGTGTCACCTGTCAGTGGCAAAGGGATACCCCCCCATCTGTGTTTGCTTGGGAGGGGTGGCAGGGCTGGGCTATGGTGCAATGGTGGGAGGCCTCTGCTCCCCCACCCCTCTGATGCTGCCTGGCTTGGCTGACAGCCTGAACACTTCTGAGCCCTACTTCTGCCTGCCTGTGTCAACCAAGCTGGGCAGGGTGGCAGGAAGGGTGGGGAGGTGCAGGCTCCCCCTGGCTTTCCTTGCTCTAGTCTTGGAGGCCGGAGTTGAGCCTGTGGGATGGGGGCTTTGCTCTTCCCTGCCCCTGCCTGTGACCTGCTTGGCTGGCACAGGCAAGCAGGAACAGACCTGAGAGCTGCATGGGCTATCAGATGAGCTGGGCAGTGTTGGGGGATAAGGGGGAGGAGAACTCCCCCCCCAGCCCCCCCACCCATATCTGTGCTTGCTCGAGTTTGTGGGCGCTGGTGCTGGGCCCGTGAGATGGTGGCTTCTTCTTCCCACCCCCAGTGCTGAGTGGCTCAGTTGACAGTTGTGGCATGGCTCTCAGCCCCAGCTCCTGCCTGCCCTTGTTAGCCAAGTTGACCAGCAGTAGGGATCAGGAAGGAGCAGAGCTGGTCTGGCTCCAACCCTTCTTGATCTGACCAAACACAGCTGGGGGGAGGCTGCACTTCCACATCCTTCCCCCTGCCCTGCCTAACTCTGCTGACAGAGGCAAGAAGAAGCAGGGCTGATAGCTGTGTGGGCTGGAAGCCAAGCTGCACAACACTGGGGAACTAAGGGAAACAGTAGCCTCCCTAGATGTGCTTGCTTAGATCTAGGGGGCTGAGGTCAGGCCCATGGGTGGGGGCTTTTCTCCTCCTCATCCTCTGGTACTGCTCAGCTCAGCAGAAAGCTGGCACTGCTCTAAGCCCTGCTCCTGCCTGCCCATGTCAACTGAGCCTGGCAGAACAGAAGGGTCACGGAGAACCAGCTGCACCAAGCAATTCTTGGTTTGGTCCGGGGGGGGAGGGGGGCACTGAGCTGGACACCTGGAGTGGGGGCTTCTGTTCCCCACCCTTGCTATCCTCAGGGCTGAGCAGCTTGGATGACACTCCTGACATGGCTCTCAGCCCAGGCTCCTACCTTCCCATGTCAGCTGAGCCACGCAGTGGTTGGGGGCAAGGAGGAGCAAAGAACCCACCCAATGCCCCCCCCCCCCCGCCTTAGCAAGCAGGGGGACAAAAAACCCCCCCCAACCCCCCCCCCCCCCCGACTTAGCAAGCACAGCTAGAGGGAGCCTGTGTTCTTCCTCTCTTCCCCCACCTGATGCACTCTGCTGACATGGGCAGGCAGGAGCAGGGCTGTGAGCCATGCAAGCTGTCAGCTGAGCTGGGCAAGTGTCTGGGGGTGGGGAGCAGAGAACCCTGCCCCACAACCTAGCACTGGCCCTGGGCCCTCCCCATACCTGATCAAACACACCTTGGTGAGGGGCTGACAGTTGGGGGCCTCTGCTCCCCTTCTGCACCGCCACTGGCAGGCACTGCCAAGACCAAGGGCTGGGAAGCTGAGGCTTTGTTGCCTCAGCAATGTGACAGCCCAGGGGACAGGGCCAGCCCAGCTCTATGGAGCAGACATCATGGGCATGCAAAGGATCATGGGATACTGGAGGACAGCAAGGTAACTTGAGTCAGGAGGGGATGTGGGACGGAAGTTTGATAGACCAGTTTAACTTGAGTCACTTAAGTCTGATACTACATCCATCCAGGTCTATCTTAAACTGGTTTAGGCCACTTTGAAATCAGTTTGTGTTCACTGAACTTCTGTTCTATTACAGGTTTAAACTGGTTTCTAATTACTTAAACTGGTTTATGTTTAATGTCTGTCCCTATCCTTAAAGTGCCAGACTGCTATGTTACATCCAGCTATTTTCTTTCTTGTTTAAAGTAAATATCAGAAATACCTGGTACCCTTCTGGTACTAAGTGAAGCACCAGCTCATTTGAAAAAAAAACAAACAAAAAAACCCATATTTTTTGTAATAAAATAAAATAGCTGCATTGACACAGGTACCCAGAGAGTCAGTGTACCTGAATGCTAACTGCCAGAGGAGTCAGAAAAATCTGCTTAGGGAGTCAGGGTACTGGTTCCCTATAAAGGGGATCTTGCCACCCTGGAGAGTCAGGCAGCCTGAGGAGCTACATGCTCTACAAACTGCAATATTTTATGTTACTGAAAAGCTTATCAGCATTTGAAAAATAATATTCCTAATAACCAACTACTTGTCTGTGCTGCATCTGGCTCTAGTCTGTGCTTCCTGAGCCTTGCCACCATGAACACTAATTTTTTTAGGTACAGCTTTCCAGCCTTCAGTTATGCCAACTCTCAGGCATTCTTGGCTTGTGCTAGTTTCACTGGCTCAATAATTATCTGTCTTACATATAGTGTGATGGGGTGGAGGATGTAGTTATTTCACATCCAAAGGGTCAACTTTTGGCTTGAATTGATGGACTGTAGGAAAAAGTAATAAAGTGAGATGTTTAAAAACACAATGAAAAGCTTAGGACTAGGACATGGGTGATAATAAAATGAACCTGGTGTGGCAAGAAAATGAATTAGGAAAATATTACTCCAAAAGAGAATCTTCTCATAGCCACCTCTTTCCAAGTCTCCTACATCATCCTCACAACAACAGCTGGGTTTCCACTTCCAGCTCCTTACTGTAGTTATAGTGGATAGATATCCATCAGTCAGTCAATTGGCAATCCCTCGCAGTCAAGAATGATTGTGGTGGTCAGATGTAGCATTGCAGTAAGGAATATCAAGAAGAACGTTGGAGCAGTGTTGCAGCTTTGCTTCACTCCTGTCCTAACTTCAAAGGAATCTGTGATAGATCTGTTGCTACGAACCACCACTCACATACTATCATGCAGAAGGCAGAAAATGGTATCGAAGTTGAGTGGGCAAAGAAGGCCACATAGAGATTTATGTTGTTCCTGGCATATTTTCTGCAGCTGGCAAACTGTGAAGATCATGTCATTTTTGCCTCTTGATCCCCTTAACCAGGGGTGGGGAATTATTTGGACCAGAGGGCCACCTGGAGGGGCGGGGGCAGGGGCTGGGATAGGGCTGAGGGTGAATGGGGAGCGGCATCCAAGAGTAGGATGTGGGGGCAAGGTGAGGGTCAGGGCTGGGATTGGGATCACTGGGTGCTGACAGATTGGGGTTGGAGCCCAGAACGGAGCTGAGATCTGCTCCCCACATGCCCCTGTGATGGATGCTGGTTCTGTGGGCAGTGGTGTATGGGGAGCAGATTGTGGCTCTGCCCCAGGCCCTGGCCCAACATTATCACTATCCAGCAATCCCAGGATTTCCAAGGAAACCAGCTGGGACCCGCATGTGCAGGATGCACAACCGGGTGGATGGGATGGGATGGGATGGGGCCACGGGCAGGCAAGAAGTGGTATTCATGACAGGGATGGACAGGCTAGGGCTGGAATCAGGATTGCAGGGATGTGACAGTGAGGAGCCATGGCCTGGGTCAGAGCCAGGATCTGCTCCCCACATGCTTCTGCCCACAAAAATAGTGCCCATTGTAGGGACACATGGGCAGAGGATTGCAGCTTTTCCCTGTGCCCTGCCTCCGGACTGCCACTACCCCATGATCCCAGCCCGAACCATGGTCCCACCCACTCATCCTGCTCTCAGACACAGCTCCCTGCCTGCCTATGGCCCCATCCACCCACCCACATGCCCTGCCTGCATAGGTCCTGGGGTGGTCTCCATAGAGATCCTGCCAGCCCACTCTATCCACTGTCCCGGGCGGTGGGTGGGGAGTGAATGGGCCAGGGTGCCCAGGCAGTGAATCTGTGTCTGGTGGTGATGGCAGAGGCTGCCTCTGAGGCTTTCAGAAAGTGAGTCCTGCTTCCACGCTACCCCAGCCTCATTGTACACCTGGGGGCAGTGAGACTGGCTGCAGGCACCATAGACCGGCCTGCCCCCTTGCCTGAGCTGGGTGAGGCTGAGGGATCCATCATGACCTGGATGAAATCCATTGGGCGTATCCAATCTATGGGCTGTATTTTATCCATCCCCGCCCTAAACCCACATTGAGATTCCAGGAGGAACTGTTAAACAAGTGAGAGGAGACAGTTCAGGAAGGCTTTTGCAATGATCCTTACTGTGGACAACAAGGTGATCCCTCTGTAATTTCCACAGTCAGACCTGTCTCCTTTCCTGAAGATTGTCACAATCATGGCATCCCTGAGGTCATTTGGGATTTCCTCATTATTACTTATCCTTAATGTGAGGGCACAGAGCTGTGATGTAAGCTCTTCTCCTCCCAACTGAAGATTTAATCAGGGATTCCATATGATCCAAATGCCTTGTCATTCTTCATCTGCTTGATGGCTTTCCTCACCTTGTCAAGGGCTGGAGGGATTTCAAGATCTTCACTTACTGAGTGTTACAGGATGGAATTGAGAACACTCTCATCAACCACAGAGTCTCGAATGAGAAGGTCCTCTAAGTGCTCTTTCCAACAGGCATTGATGATCTCCTCTATCCTTAGGTCTCAAGGAGGCTGGTCCCTGAGTGTTCAGACCATAGATGGCTTTAGTGACATTGTAAACAAAGAAAACAAATTGTGCATATTGTGAATGTCAGTGAGATGTTGAATCTCCTTCACCTTGTCTTCCCACCCTCTGTTCTTCATATCATGGGTTCTCCTTTGGACCTCAGCCTTGGCTTTTTGGTGATTCAATATCTTTTGCTTGGAGTTGATAGCAGAGCCATACTGCTACCCAGCGCATCCACAGGTGATGGATAGTGGATAGGTATATCAACCCTCTGAACTGCATCACATGCATGTGTTGTGTAAGACATTCCTCTGATTCAGGTTAGTAGGAGTGGAAAATTTTGGTTTCTTACTACTGAGGATTTTGAAGTACCTTACAACTATGTCTCTCCTATGGTGTTCCATCCATGAACAGTCGCTTCTCATTCCCATTAATTCCTCTCTCTATTTCAGAAGCCTCTGCTTTTCCTGGAGATAGTTATGATGATGCAAGAGAAGTTTTTGACCCTGAAAATGATTCTGTTTCTGCACAGAGTGACCAGAAAGTCAGTGGACTAGCAAAGAATAGTTGCAAGAAGAGAGACTCATGGACAGGTTAGAAGAAATGCAGTGTTACCAATATGCACTATTTTATAATTAATCTCATCATATTTAGCATTTTGGTAGGAGACACAAGGAGCTGGAGCTTTTAGCAAGATAAGAATTTCAACTGGAATTTAAAACCAACACTTGTCATGACCTCCTGGCTGCTGAAAGAAGCTGCAAAATGTCAACCAGATGGAAGCCAGGGGCTCAGAAAACAAAACAAAACAAAACAAAACAAAACAAAACAAAACAACCCCCCCCCAATTAATACAATACCTATTCTTGACACTTTGAAACACCCCCTGCTAGTGTAGGAGCACAGTATCTTATAGATTTAATACTCTCTATTAATGTAGCATCAGAATAAATCTCTTATTACCTTTTACCAGTATATAAGCTCTCACTTTCCATGTCTACAGAAATTGAATTGGGACAAAATATCTTTTTCTTTTGAATGTGGCTTGCCCTTAACGTGTACTGTGGATTGTGAGCTCTGCCCTGTCCTGCCATGTTTCACCAGGTATCACCTGGTATAAAGTCTTGTAGGGGCTAGACCATGGATGGGCAATTATTTTGGTTGGAGGACTGCTTAATAAGTTTTGGCAATCTGTCAAGGGCTGCAAGGGTAGCCCTATCCCTTGATAGGTGGCCCACCACCTGCTCACTATCTTGGAACTGGAAATCCTACACCTAACCCAAACCTTTGCCACTTGAAGTTCCTCTCCTTGCCCCAGAAGTACTCCTTTTGGAGGGTGGGGAGGGTGCCATCTTGGAACCAGAATTATCTTATACTAAAAATATCAAACATCTACTACAACATATTTTAATTTTATTTAAAATATATATATTTTGGTCCTGATTTATATGTGTTTGTATAATGTATATAGAGGTGATTGCGTAATAGCTTAAAATACAATCTTACAAGAGGGTGTATGTAGCGGGGGTGCAGTTGGGGAACAGTGTCATTGGGAAGCATGTGTGTGTGTGTGTGTGTGTGTGTGTGTGTGTGTGTGGAGAGTGTGTGTGGGGTGCGGGTATGGTGGGTAGGGTGTGTGGGGAAGGTTGGGTGTGTGGAGGGCTGGTGTATGTGTGGGTGTGCAGGGATGTGAGTCTGTGGTGGGTGGTTGTGATGGGAGGGTTTGGGTGTGTGGGATTATGGTGGGGGTAGGAGTGTGTGTGACAGTGCTGTGGGAGGGTGTGGGTGTGTGTGGGAGTATGGTGGGAGGTGTGGGGGTATGGAAATGTGGGTGAGGGCTGTGGGATGGTGCGGGTTTGTGTGGGGGTATGGTGGGGGATGGGTTGTGTAGGAGGGTATGTGTGTGTGTGTGTGTGTTGCAGGGGAAGGGGTATTGGCGGGCTGAGTCTTCAGAGTCCCCAGAGTGTGCAAGTCCCCAGAGCCACATGTGGTGGGGGCCCACCTGTCCCTATAGTGTGCATTTCTGTGCTCCCGCCTGATTCTCTGGTTGCACATGACATTAGCATGTGGGCCCAGCCTCACTGGGTCCCATAGTGCTCCTGCCTGAGTCCACGGCTACACGTGGTGGCAGGGGGAGGGACAAGCCCCACCTGGCCCTGTAACACACCTACCAAGTCCCTGGCTGAATCTCTGGACAGGGATGTGCTCCTGTCTGGACATCTCTGGACATCTCATGTGCTCCTATCCAAATCTCTGGCTACATATGATGGCTACGAGCAGGACCAGTCTAC